CTCTCAGCACTTACAATACCTGGATTGGATTGACGGGAACATGTTGGCAAAAGAGAGCTCCATTGCTGGCTGACAGCTACCACGAAGCAGAGAACCTTGCGCTGTTGCTGCATGGGTCGTAGGCCCTACATGAGGAAACTTTTTTTTCACGCTTTTGCAGGCTCCTCCGGATCCCCGGGCTCTCGCTCCTTCTCAAAAGCAAGAAAAGTCTCGGAGCCCTCTATGCCCCCGAACCAAGCACGTGCTTCTTGGCGTTCTGCCAAGCTTGGCAGGCAGCAATGCACATGCTCCATCTTGTTGTCCCACGCATCCGCTTGCTTCAGCCAAGCAATCAGCATGCCAACCGGACGCCCGGAACCACGTCGAACTGGAGCGGTCGTAGCTGCCCTCCTGCAATTCTCCGAGTGGCGGCCAGTGCGGTGTTTGCAAAATGCTTGCATCTGCTGCGTACTATGATAGTAGTGAAGCTCGCCCAGGTCTTCCACCTGCAGGACCACACGATTGCCATAGTCACGAACCCGGTTGACTCTGCCAGCAGGAGCTGCTCCATCAGCAGCTGCTGCGTCCGGGGCCGGCCTTGCAGCGTCTGCAGCAGCGCCGGCATCAGCTTCTGCCCCGGCAGCAGGAACAGCGGCATCCAGTCGGCCCTCGGCCGCAGCATCCTGGTCGGAGTCAGAGGACTCATGCATGTCCAGCTGCTCCTCGAGCCAGGCATCCTCATCGGATTCCTCACACAGGCGGGCGTATATAAAGGGGCCGTGGAGAGACGGCACCAAGACAAATGAGAGGTCTGACAAGATAAGAAAAGGAAGATCGGCATGCTACCGCGAATACGGACGCTAGTCACTAGTCACTACTCACTATTCTTAGCACACGGACGAAATGTTTTCGCAGGTCACGAGTTCAGGACCGACAGTCTATAAATGCAGGCGCCACACCTCCTCCGATCCAGGCACATCTCCTGGCAAGCTTCTTGGATCAGGAGCCTCCTGCTCGTCCTCCGTGACGTCAGCATCTGCCCCGTCGGAGTCGTAGACGTGACCTGGTGCTTCAAAGTCTTCGGCATCTGCGGCTCCATTCGCAGGGACCGCTTCAGCTGCGCTTGGCTGGCCGCCCTTGCCTCTCCTGCCCCTCCGGCCTGCTCTTCCAGGATCTGGGGCAACAGGCCTTGCATTGCGTTGTTGCCTTCTGGGCGCTTGTTGGCGGCGGAGCTCTCGCTTCGAAGTTTCCAGAACGCTGCGTCGGGCAGCTTCCTCTGTCGTGCCCTGCCAAACCACTGCAGGAGGTTGTTCGGGAGTCTCGAAAACGGCAACCTCCTCAACAGGCGCTCCCTGCCAGTGCAAAGGGTCGCTGGAAACAAGGTGGAACTTCAATGTCCACGGCAGCTTCAAATCCAGAAGCCTGGCAAACACTTCCATATCCGTGATAGCAACCTGCTCCACGTCTTCATCATGACTGCAGGGGTGCAGCCACCGCACCCCGGCTGGCAGCTGCTGAGGCAACGGAAATGTCTCCTGCATGCGCAGCGCGCTGAAATGGAAGGTCCTGAAATTTACGCGCCCGAGATGCACAAAAAGGGATTCCGGAGAGAGTGTTTCAACAACAAGATTCTGCTTGTAGGCTTCGCACCAATCGTCTGATTCCTCGCTGCTGCTAAATACACCTCCGCCTGGCGGAGGTCGTAGTGACGCTGGCCGTGTGAATTCAACAAATACCTGCAAGCCTTCCAATGCCAGACGAAGAGGAGAAGCACGGTTCTCTTTCTTCTTCTTCCAGAAGATGTTGCGAAAGATGCGCTTGCAGTTGTCAGAGAAATGCTTCGCATCACAGTTTGTGCCGCACACGCACACTCCAAATCCCAGACAAGGCTTTGGACGAAAGGCAGACGCAGTCACGGGGACATCTGGTATGTTGGCTTCCTGCTCGGACATATGAACAAGGCTGCATTGGTCGTTGATCCGCTCCAACAGGGACTTCTCCAGCCCCAGGGTGCGTCGAACTTGTCCAGCCGCTTTACACATCATTGCCTGGGGAGGACCCCTCAACATGCTTATACCACAAGAATATGGGTACACGTTAATTCCGCGTACCACGTCTATAGTATAGCGGATAGAGTGATATCGTTACTATAGTACAAATTCCTGTAGCTGCGCCTGCAGAGCGCCTGTGATGGGCGGGACCCAGTCAAACCCCACCATGCGCAGGCACGCCGTGCCCATCTGGCTGAAACCGCCTAGAGTCTCGACGTGACTGCCTGCCTCGAAGCAATCACGCAGCACATCCGACGCGGCAGTGTTATGCAGATAGCTGGCAATCCTCTCCCGCTCCGCGTCACTGTAGACCAGTTTGTAGGCCTTCTGCGCATCGGCACTGGCTCGTTTGACCTGTCACGCGTCACTGAAGCTTGTCTTAATGCGGCCGTAGGCCCTATATCAGGCCCTATATACCCATACCCTCTACGACGACCTCACGTCAGACAGGAGACAAGCGAAGACAACGGGGAGGGTACCGGGCACACATAAGTCAGGTGCCTGGTGCCAGCCCTGCGTGAAGAGATCTGGGCCATGCGACTGGAAGGCGAGCTCGAAGCTCTGAGCATCCGATGCTGCCACAATGGCACCAGAGGCCAATTCATCGCCCGGCGCGGGGATCTCATGGGGCAAGAAGTAAAGTTTAGGGTCACCAGCTCTAGAACGTACTCTCTCCTTCTGGCCAAAGGAGCTAAAACCCGCGAGATGTGCTCGCGTTGCATGCTCCCCAGCTTCTCGATATCGCTCTTTCTCCGCCTCACTGAGCGACCGGTACTGCCGTGCCAACTCAGCAATGCTGTGCTTCGTGAATCGATCTCCGGCGCTCATCTCATGCACAAAGGCACGCCAGGCACCGCCAGCACGACGATCAGTTGCTTTTTTTTTCTTGACATGTTCCCTCTCCGCCGGCTTCTTGCGGCTTTTCTTCTCCGCAAACAATTCACGGAGGAATCTCATAGCTTGGAAGGTGCGCCCTATGAACTTGGCGGTCAAAGTCTGCAGACTGGGCCACCACCCCCTGTTTCTCAAAAGGCTCATCTCCCTGTTAGACGCGTGTCGCGCCTCCAAGGCTGCAATGTCTGTAGATATCAGTGAGGCCAGAGCATACAACACGGCAGTAGCTTCGCTGGATTCCAGCTTCTCGGGGGTGTCCTTATCGGAGTCTTGGGCTCGGCTAGGCTAAACCCCGCTGTAACGGGTAGAGCGGGCAATGCCAATAAATTTCCGAAGCCATCGCTGTAGGTTGTGAGTGTTTCCGACTTAGTTGAAGTGACATTCTACGTCAAGAGTCAAGACGTCAAGCCGTCAAGCAATGAACTCTACATGAACATAGACTCAATTCCAGGGTTGGGGCGGCAAGGGAAACCTCACATCACAGAATCACCCCATCCATTGCTGCTGAGTAGCTGCATATCGCTCGATCAATGCGCGCGCCAAACTGTCGCGCATGCACGGCGGTATGGACAACACCTCGGAAGCCTTGCCAGACAAAGCTGTGAAGACCTTGTAAGGACAGCCTTGCCGCGGGAGGCGCAGAAGTGCATGGAGCGTACAGAGGCATGCGCTGATCATAGTGAACCGGATGATCCTGAGTCGAACTGTTAGCTGATGCCACTCAATGGCCAGAGGCAGACACCACAGCAGACTCAGCAAGGAGCGCATGCACTGCGCCACGTCAGCGCCGGCTGCCGCTGCTATCACAGGGTAGCACCGCTGCGCTTGGCCCTGGGCAGACGCTGCTCGTTGCCGTTTCTCGAATCCATCCCCACTCATGTCGAGGAAAGAAGACATCAATGCCAACAGACAGCTGAACACTTCTTTGATCATCACCTGAGGCATTTTTCTTCAAAACATATAATATAATAATATAATATAGAGCGTTCTCATTACTGCATCTGAACTGCTCAACACGAACTAGAATAGACTCACTCGACACCAAACTCAACAAAAAAAACGTACGACCTAACAGCCCAAGTGGCTAGCCGCCGAAAAGGTTTGCTGGACACCCACACTGCCGCCTTCTTCTTGTTCTGTCTCTTTTGTTTCTTCCACTCATTCTCGATCTCTCCATCGTCTGTGTTCTCTTCCGGCGGAACGGGGACAGACTGCGCGGCATCCATTGCAGAAAGACCTGCGTCTTCCTCTGCCCCCTGCACATGGTCAACAGAAGGCCCGGCAGCGTAAGCATCATCCCAGTCATCGAGATCCTGATGGACGTCTGCGGGCTGTGCAGAAGGCACGTCCGCTGCAGGACTGGGCGCACCGACCGGCTTTCCGCTCAGCTCTGCAACCAGCTTACCCAAGAGACCGTGGCATGCTTCCAACACTCCGCAATAGTCCACACATTCGTCGTAACGTGTCCACCGTGACCGTGGGAACACTGGCGGTTGTCTGGGACAGAGGGCCCATGTTCCGTAGACTGCGAGCAGCTTGAGCGTTGCACTGAAGTTGGGACAGCACCCGAATTGGCAGTAGTGTTGAATTTCACCGTGTTCACGCCAGTTTCCATTGAGGAGATACGAAAGAACGTATCTCCTGAGTTCGAGGCACAACGTTGCTCCACGACACGGCGCACTCCTAAAGATAGCACACCGCATTTGGCTAACTAGGTGGACCCTCAAGCCTGGTCCCTTAACTGTCTTAACTGTCTGTCCATATGCTGAAGCAAACGGCACGATCATCCCGCAATAGATTACCAACAATGCAAAAAACCCACATCCCGACACCAAAGGTTCCGCTTGGCGTTGAGCTTTGCCCTCGCCGGATGCACAGACTGTACCGGCAGGAACAACTGGTAGATCTGGTCCCTGTACTGGCTCTCGCGAGAGTCTGGGATCTCTGCGGGGGGCCGTTTGTAATAAATCACAAGATCCCGAGCAAAGATGCGTGCCAATGCCTGGTGGAAAAGTGACACAGCTCCAGGTTCGGAGTAACCCAAGCTGAACGCCAGGAGGCCTGAGACATCAAATTCAACCCGACTCATACCCGCCTTGCTCGCGGAATAGGCCTTGTGTACGTCGCAAAAAGTGTGGACAAACTCTGTCTCGTGAAACATGGCACTTAAGCCACGCTCTGCTGCTATGTTTGACGTGAAGCGGTCTGTGCAACTCAGTCGCAGCCTCATAGGGATGTCAGCATCTGAAGCAAAAGAATGCAAGTCAGGGACGGTGTCCAGGACCTTCTTCAAGCAAGCGTATGTGTTGGCTGCGCTTGTGCTCTGGAGGGCCTGCAAATAAGTCGGAATTCTACCTTGAAGCCAGGTATATTGCATGTTCTGCTTGTGATGCACCAACATGCCAACGGAGAGTTCAGTCTGCATGACCTTTGTGTGGCTGCCCCCAGATTGCTGCCCCAACACATTGGATTTGACGGCTTCCTCAGCAGTGCATGTAGCCAGGTCCACGCCGCCTTTTCTTGGCTCAAGCACCCTGACCCTGCTGGGAGTCTCGTCGTAGCGTAAGCGAAAGACAAAGAGGACTGGCTGAACCGTCGCGTCTGCCGCTCGCCACAACCTCGGAACATCCATGACTCAGGGCTTCCAACTCCCCCGCCGCCCCCTCCATAGTAAATTAAATAGATTCAATAGATTCTACGCTCACTCTGCACACAAGCAAAGGTCACGCCAATCCAGCAAAGCAACGATCGAAGGGTACCCAACATGATCGCCCAAAAAAGCAACATAGTTCTAAACACGCTGTAGCAATGCTCAGCATACGGTCTGCACAGTGGGACTCCCCCAATAGCTTTTCCAGCGCACGAACGCTTACATTGGACATGGCATCGTCTAGTGCGTGCTCAACCAGTTCGTCACACTGCCCCAGGTTCTGCTCGGAGCATTTCGCGATTGCCTGCACTAGATCCTGCTGCAACTCCGTGCCAACGCGGTTCATGACTGTGATTTCGCCAAACGGCTTCAGGCTGTCAACAACCGATTTCCGCGTGCTGTCTATCCGATTGCCCTGTGCTACATCATTTCTTCTGGCCTCCATTGCAGCCTCGTGTTTTTGCATCCGGATCCTGAAAGCGTACTCAATGGTGCCCGGTTGGAGAGCCCGATTGCCTTGTTCTGGTGGCATGTCCTCCATAGAAGCCATCCTCCTGCGCAGGTCACGCGACCCAAAGGTGCCAGGAGGTCGCCTTGCCTTCTTGGAAGGCAAGGCGGGAATTGGGCATTCCTGCTCTTGGAATGACTGTGAAGCTAATTCACGATTGTAGGTGTCCTCCCAATCGGCATCGGAACCTAGTGACACATCTTCGCTGGAAAACACATCTTCATTGATATCTGCATCTGCAGGGGATACAGTCGCATCTGCTGCCGCATCGACGGCATAAGTGCGATCCCAATCTGAATCGCTTTGCGAGTCAGTTGCCATTTCCCGGAACCATTGCTTGACAATGTTCTGTTATTGATTCATGTGCCTGGACATACCTGACACGCCTACCTCCGGTTATGGATTGTGGACATAGTACTAAATTTAAGGTTTATCAACTCACTAAGTCGTCCACGGTTGGTCACTCAGAAAACAAGGCACCTAGGCTTCAGCTGGCTTCAGGCTTAAGGCTTGAGCCTCCAGGACCTTGCTTGAGCCATGCCAATGCGGGCCAATGCAATGATTGGCAGAGGCATGGTAGAGCAGCTTTCCACTCGCTGTCTGCACGGAACTTACAAGCTTCCAAGATCCCCGGCAAACAACGCAGACTCGCGCCTCGTGCGCAACACCTTCACAAACACGGATGCGTCCATTTTGTGGGTGACAATGAAGTAGCCACCATGCACCCAAGTCTGAGCTGCCATCTTCGCCAAGAACCTGCACGGCACGCAGCGAGGGTCGAGGTTGCTTCATGACATGGTAAACATACTACGTGTGCCCTTCGACAGTCCAGTAACCGCTGGGGTCTAGATTGTCTAGATCATAGACTGTAACGGCCTGGGGCCTAGGTGTTAGATTTAAGAGAACGGGTTGAGGAAGACGATGGAATTCTTGTAAATACGGTTAAATTCCGTGCGATCACAAAGCAACTGTGGGCACAGGCTTAGCAACTCACTAAGTCGCCCCCACGACACTCAGAAACCGAGGTGCTAAGGCTTCCGGCGGGTTAAGGCTTAAGGTTGAAGCCTAAGCGTTGAAGCCTTGAGGACCAAAAGCAATCAGCATGGTACAGCAGCGGTCAACTCGCTGTAACTCGCGGTTCCTATAACCCCCCCCCCTCCACCCCCCCTTTTACTCACAAAGCCACTATGTTGGTGGTGGTGGTGGTGGTGGTGGCGGCGGCGGTGGTGGTGGTGCTGGTGGTGTTCGTAGTGGTGGCGGTGTGGTGGTGTTGCTAGTGCTAGTGGTGGTGGTGGTGGTGGTGGTGGTGGCGGCGGTGGCGGTGGCTGTGGCGGCGGTGGTGGTGGTGTGGTGCTCGGGCCCCGGTTGCCACCTCCACCCCAGGACGGAGGCGGGGAACCGCATTATGTTTTCCCTTTTCGGGCCCTAGCAAGTGGTGGTAGTGGTGGTGGTGGTGGTGGTGGGTGGTGGTGGTCGTGGTGGCAGTGGCAGTGGCAGTGGCAGGTGGTGGTGGGGGGGAAAGGGGGGGGGGGTCTCCCTCTCTCCGCCCCGCGCTCCCCTCCCCCCCCAACCCCCCAAAATAGTTGGTGGCATTTTGATTTTTGCGGAATTTGTGGGGCAAAAGCCACCAATTTTTTGGGGGTTGCGGGGGGGGGGAGGGGAGTGCGGAGAGGAGGGGAAGGGGGGGACGGGGGGGGGAGGGGGTTGGGGAGCCAGGCAGGTGGAATGAGTTGTTTTCATTCCCACCCCCCGCCCGGCCCCCCTGCCCTGAGGGGTCGTGGTCGTGGTGGTGGTGGTGGTGGTGTTGTGGTGGTGGTGGTGGCGGTGGTGGCGGTGGTGGTGGTGGTGGTGTTGCGGTGGTGGTGGTGTTGTGGTGGTGGTGGTGGTGGTAGTGGTGGTAGTGGTGGTAGTGGTGGTGGCGGTGGCGGTGGCGGCGGTGGTGGTGGTGGTCGTGGTGGTGGTGGTGGTGGTCGCGGTGGTGGCTGTCGTGGTGGTGGTGGTAGTAACATCAAACAACTCAATGATAATAGACTTAAGACCCTGGGCCTATCCGTCTAACTGCTAAAGCCCCCACCCTAAACTCCCAAAGTCTTGAACCCTAAAGCCCTAAAGTCCGAAGGCCCTGAACCTTAGGCCCTAAGCCTTGCCCTGAGCCCCTAAACGAAATTGCAGAATCGAATTGCTGCTACAGCCCGCCTGGATTTTGGAGTCTCTGTTCCGCCCGCCACAAGCGGCTGGCAGAATCCCCAGACTTGCTCAAGAACACCTTTCTGTGGCTCGTACTTAATGTATAAGTCCACCACTGCGCCAAGTGTCAGGTCACAAGCTTTGTGATTCACGACACTGTTGGGGGAGTATCTGCCGGTTCGAAAGGCACTAAAGGGCGTGCAAGGGGAACCTGAAACGAGCAAGTCTGCTCCTTCACTCGGCAAGTCTTTCTTGGGATCGCAACCAACGATTCTTGCAACGCTGGACCCCTCGCAGGTTGAGCAGAAGCACCCTTCGGAAACTTGATCCTCCAAGCACTTGTAGAAACGCTCGAAGCGGCCGGGATAGTTCAATTCACAAAACTCCCTGTATGCGGGATTGATCTCGGAGGCTGAGACTACCTTGAAGTCCACATCCAGCGCCTGCCAAAAAAAGATTCCGCTGTCACTGAATGGAACAAACACAACAAAAAAAAAAACAAGCCAGCTGTCACTGTCTCTTGCAAGCCCTCGGAACCCTGGCTGGCCCTGGCCTTCAGCACGGCTGATTCCGCGGAGCAGCCCGTGCAAGCACTGATCACGTGCAAAGGCTTGGACACACGCCCAGGCCACTCCCACCCAAGAGACGTGGCCGCTCTAAGCAGCCGCTGCGACCACCAAGCCGTCAGTCTAAACCCTGTGCTGGAAGCAGAGCTGTCATCATCCACATCGCTCTCTCCCTCAGGAAGAGTTGCACAAGCATCTTCCTGAGCCTCCGCTTCTTGCTGCGACAGTGACAACTCGTTATGGAAAGAGTCCTCCCATGAGTCAGCATCACTATCGTCCTGGCGCCTGGGGTCCTCTTGGGGTGCCCGTTTGCGCTTGTTACGACGACAAGGCAAGCACACCTCATCCCAGCTGTCTGACTCTGATTCAGACATTGCTGCGTCTATCGAAGGGGGGCAACCTGTGCAGCCTTCTTATCATGCAACTTGTAACTGCTGCTGGAGTCTCCGAAAGATATTTTGACATCCTGCAAGCTAACCGAATGAGCTTTGTCTTTGTCTGAACGGACACTTCCGGCGTACCTGTGGCCCATAAGGTTCAGAAGATAAATGAAACAAAGGCAGCATCAACCGAATATATTGCCAGCACAACAGCTGGAGCGCAGTCCGGCAGAAAAGCAAAGCAGAAGAAAGTAGGAGGAGGATGGCGAGGGTTATCAAGTGAGGATGACTCTAAAAACATGAAAAAATGATGAAATACCAAAATCTAATAGGACTCGTAGCCGAACAACAAAACAGGGAGGATGATCGGAGGATAATCAGGAGGATAAAGAAGAGGTAAAAAAGCACTATAATCCCGAAGAAAACAGAAACCCAGAGGATAACCAGGAGGATAATCAGGAGGATAATCAGGAGGATAAACAAGAGGAAAAAAAAACAAAACTCGGAGGAAAACCAAACCAGCGAGGATGATCAGGGGGATAAGGCGGAGGATAAAAAGGAAGATGATCCGCAGGACAACAAACCCAGGGAGGATGATCCGGAGGATAACCAAGAAGTAAATCTGAGCTAAAAATAATTGTTTCGCAGGCCCCCAATAATTGGCTGGCCCGATTTCATAAGAATAGTGCTGCTCGCACCCTGCATT